CTGGTTGCAGATTAGCTGCTATGCAGCCAAACAGTCACTGTCCATTCTAGTTCTGAAAGTAAATTTTTCCTACTGACTTTTTGAAAAATTCAGTTCAAAGACATCATGGAGGCTAACCAGCTATGTGGTAACTAAAATCCATAAGGCAGTTATTGAAAAAACACAAATGCAAGATTCAGCAAAATGCTTTTAACTTAGCTGTGTATAGGTCCTAAAATAGATTTTAAATAAAATATAGGTCTTGCAATCGTTAGTTACCATGTAGCTCATTGGCCCTGAGCACTCATTCAACCTTTAACTTATTTATAATAAGTCTATAGGATCTATCTATCTATAGAAATGTACTTTTAGAACCAGGAATTGGTGGTCACGGTTGAACTGCTAGCCTCGATGACCTTGATTTGGTTGCAATCGAATGCTATGGGTGACGTCATGCTCCCTTAAGGCCGCCGCACACTACAGGATTTTTCTATCTTAAAACCCTCACGCTCTCCTTGGGGTCACATTGACCCAAAGTTTTTTTTTTCCTTCTCACGTTCAATCAGACCCAAAAATGTATTTTGTCGCCTGGTGAGAATTTATTGAAAATAATTTTTTGGGTCTGATTGACCCGTCCCAAGAGAGCGGAAGGAAAAAAAAACAATTCTTCCGGTCAATGTGACCACGAGGAGAGCGTGAGGGAAAATTTTAAACTATTTTTAGACATACAACAAAAAGCACATACCACAAACACAAGGAGAATCTTATGAGACTTAAAATCTGTGATCACTGCAGCAGGATATATTGCTGCAGAGTACAGGCTATAAAGTTGTGAGTGCACCTCACATCAGCTGTTTCCTGTCTACAGTAAAACTAATCACTTTGAGAAGCTTAAGTTTTTAAAAGATCAGACCACTGCACATCTAGTTTAGATGCAAAACAAAATTGTGTTATTATTACTTGTGAAATGTGGTGCAATAGTTCAGATACAGGATTTTTAAAACATAGAAAGTTAGTGATAAAGTACACAGGAAGCAGAGTCACTATCACTAATCTGCAGCTTCACCCCGATCCCTGCGCTGTGTGGATGTAGACAGACACACGTGAGGAACTACTTTAGCCTTTTTACTTTTAAAGAATGCCTCAAACTGGATTAATAGCATGGCTTTGTGGTCTGGATGTCATTATTTGTGGAGGATCATTTCTATGTATAATGTGGATGAGATGCTGCACTTTACCACTTTGTGAGCAGTGAATAATAAAGCCTTCTCATTATTTTTACTGTATCTCAAGTTTGTATCTTGTGCCTCTGTGTCCGTCACTTTGTCTGCCCCTGATGCTCTGTTTTATTGGCAGTTACCATAGCGTTGCTGATGTTTAGTGGTTATGATCTGACAGAGCAGCTCAGAGTCACATTGACAGCGACAAACACGAGGAGGGCAGCGGCTTCAATTCGGGTCACGCCTCCCTGAAATAAAGACAAGTAGCCTACTGCTAATGCTCAAGTACTATAGTTTTTTTTTGAAAGACATGCTATGTAAACAAATATAAACTCCAAAGGAAAAAATGCACTGACTGCTCAAAATATGAGTATTAAGTCTGATCAATATCCAGTATGGCCCTGACTGCGTCTATTGTCCAGATATCTGTTCTGACTACCCAACGTGACATACAGTAAGTTAGCAAATAACTATTGTGTCATCTGCTTCTGCCACTCTTGTTATTCTTATACTAGTGTCTACTTATTCAAGACCTGAATAAAGGCAATGTCACATGAATCTAAGAAGTATACAGTAGATATGAATCTGCTTTGATAAATTACTTGAAAAACTACTTCTGAGTTAATTTTCCCTCTATAGATGATTGTGGCTTTTTGTACATAGAACAGAAAATTGACTAATGTTAATGTATCTGCTGTTAAGTACAGTCTGTGCTTAATGAGCTGTTTTGTTGTGCAGCTGTTTTGTGAAAAGCAAATGCTCATAACTGCATTCTCAATTCTGTTGTTGGGCTTTGGTTTAAATAACAAATAAGCACATTTTATCCGGTCTTTGGGTAAAATTAGCACCAGCTAAATCTTTTTAGTTCACTTCAACACAGTAATAGGATTCAGAAATACAAGCCTGACAGAAGGCCTGGAAGCTTGACAAACTCTGTCAACAGTGGACAGTGGATGGATTCTTGGGCCCAATTATAGCCAAGAAACTTCAGGATTAGTCCCACTAGGAAATCATGAATCTTTACTTTCACAATTCCAGTGTCAGAAAAATTGGTGTGCAATGATGTGATCAAAGATAAAGAAAAAACTGCATATTTTTACTTCAAGACCACCGTGTCCGTCTCCCCTAGACACAGTAACCCCAACAGCCTCTCCAATGTCACTAATCACTCCTTCAAACAGAAATCTTTCTAATTGTTCTCAGTCTGGCCACAAACCGCATCACAAGGCGCTAAACGGCTAACAGTTTAGCATTAGTTTCCCCTTTCTCCATGTGATAGCTAATGCATTTGTGACCACCCATAGTAATTCATTCTCCGAGCTATTCCCTCACACTGCTGTCCTATTGATATGGAAATTGATCTTCATGTAGAGAAGGTGTGAAGTTATAACACATTAAGCTTCTGTTGAAATTTCAAGCCGAGCTACCAAGTCTGCTCCTTTATAGTGACTCTGGGCTTCTTATTTTGAAAAGTTCCCTGCAAATTTTTACACCAGTTTAGTCCTTTTCAGTTCTGTTTCACGTTAAAGGGCTTATATTACAATATTGCCTGATCTATGTTATAGTGTTTCCTCATCAAAAACACACCTAGAGTTGTGTTTTGTTTCATTCACACATGTTTAACATACATTTAGGATGAGTTCTTCCCTCAAACTGAAAACACCTTGTGATGTCATGTGATAATACATGAAGTGCTCCTGTGTTTAAAAACTTCATATACCATCTAGAATCATCTGGATTACTTCAGCCCTGGAATTGCCAATCTCTTCTGAACTAAAGGTAAAGGGTAGCTGTTAACATGAACACTACTGCTTCATGACATTGCAAGGGTGAACAGAGCATTTTTAGCTTTGGAGATTTAGAGAGAACAATAATAAAGGGTTACTCAAAGATGTGTGAATACAAACAAACTAAACCTTTGATGAGGTAACGACATTTCAGCATGGCTTAAAGCTCACAAGAGCCAATTTTATGTAATATAAGACCTTTAATAGATCCAGTAATTACTGATATACAACTTGTTAATTCTGTTAAAAATCTGCACATCTAATTTGCTCCTGCTCAATGGTAACACAAAATGCTTTAGTTGCTTCTTGTTTGGCCCTTTTTTCAAACTCTTGGTCGCTTGTTGCTCTATGAAAACCTGGCAACCCTGTTTTCAAGCTACATGAATGAATGAAAGTGGCAAATGACTCATCTTCGTTGTTGTTTCTTCTGATAAACCATCCAAAAGTTTAAGACATAACAAAACAGGTGAAGCACTGAAACAAGCACCAATGCAGAGTGGACTGTCTTGCTTGGCTGTGTGTGGCTAAAGACAGGGAGACTCCAAATCCTATAATTACCAGGCTGGTGGTGGGAGTGCAGTTGATAACAAAGGACCAAAGATATCAACGTCATACTGTAGCAAATATAGAAGGAGAGGGAAGAGGACAAGATACTTTATCAAACTCCATTTTACACACTGATTCAGATTTCATTTCCTCTCGACAATGACCCCAATGACTTCGCAATATATGCTCAAAATGCTATATATTAAAACTGGTCTCACTATCAGTAATTATCCAAGTGTGATAACCATATGTGAGACAAATATTCAAAAGGCAGTAATAAATTAGGTGTTAAATGGAGAGGACAGTTTTGTATTGTTCTGTATGTAATATTGAGTTCATGCCATTGTACAAACGCTTCTTTTGTATGCATGCACAAGAGCGTAACCACAATTACATGTTCCTTTTTAATCTGCCTGTTATGCTGCCACACCCCTTCCTATAAATCAAATAACCAGAGAAACTCTATCTACCAAGTCAGTGTAATGAACAGAAAACAATATTGGCCTAATGAGAAAAGAAATGTGTATTTTGCAGTATTTGGTAGTGGTTATTTCAGCATTGCAGAGCTCTGTTGCTATGGGGACTTCTTGCCTCACCGTGAGAGAATAAAAGTTAGAATAGACTGTCCTTGAGGCCCACAATTCAACACTGGATGTAATGTGCTGAATGCAGTAACTGTATACAGTGCATTCTCCTTTCACAGTGCTGACTGTAATAGGATGACAGCGTATGTTTTTTGCAATTAAAGTTAAAATTATACATAGAAAATGTTTTACAATGTGTATTTACTTATCCAAAAGTAAACCAATAATGACCTGTCAATAACACCCCTAGGTAAGGTCGAATTTGACTCTAGGGCTATAGCTCCCCATCAACACTTAATCTAGATGTCACACAACATGGTGAGTGGGTTCTGAGTTGTTGAAAGAGTCCAGCGCCTTTAAGAGGCTCTCTCTCATTTCCTACTGTTTATTGGAAAACAAAACACGTGCCTCAAAGTGGCCCATTTAGAGAAATGGGAGTCGACACTGCATTGCTTATAATGGAGACTTCTGGAAAACTTTTAGGCGTCACTATGAGTAAAATGTGTGTGTCAAGTATAAAATGTATTATATAACAATTGAATTTCCCAGTTGGCACGTTGCCTTTAATCGGCAATGCCAAAGCCTTCCAATTTTGTGCTTGCATGTCCAAATGAAGACAGCCTAGTAGTTTTACACCAGGTTCGGCTTTGGTGCCACATTTGGTGGAAAGTATAAACGTTTGCACTAAACACTTGCATTACTGTCGTGTTAAACAGTAGCTAACTGCGCAAACGTGGGACGTGCCCACGACTGGAGAGCACACTCTACAAACAGGTAAACACAAAAAGTTAGCCCCGGGCGTCAGTTCTTAAAACGATCTAGTCTAAACTGTGTGCAAAGACATGCTGCTCTAAGATATCGTATTTTATTCAATCGTCACTTACCTGAGATACAAGAGGGATAAGCGTCTGTTCTACCGAGCGAGTTTTGATTTCCAGTCCGGAATCAAAGTTTGTGTTGCCGCACGGAGATGAAGCCATTCCCGCCGAGCTCTCTCTGTGCCTCAAACAATGCACAGCAGCCTCCTAGTTCACTGTGAGCAGTTCCTACCCGCTCCTGTGCTGCAGGCTGGAGTGGCAGACTTGAAAACACTCTGAGGGTTTCGCACTTGGTTACACTGTCGTATCTGAAGTGCCTCTCTACGCGTACGCACGCTACTTGAATCCAGACTATCGGTGTGGTTAGAAGGCTGCGCCCGCTAAAGTCCATGTGGTTTACTCAACTCCGACTGGGAGCGGACTGCAGCACACCGCTGTGGACAACCGCACAACTCACCACATCTCAACAAAACACACCTCTGTCCAGGCTGCGTGTGTGCGCCTCGAGCTCTCCAATCTGTTTACGCGTGATCAAGTGAGAAGAAAAACACAATTCATTCATTTGAGTTTGCACAGTTTAACTCCTGGCTGGCTTCGCTGGCTCTGCTATACATTTTTGTGCTTTCTTATGGCCGGGTATTTCTCTTTTAGATAACAACGAGAAAGGAAATGAAAAGGTATGGTCACTATAAGAATGTAATAGATACTGGTTGGTTTTAGTGAAGTGCTACATGAAGAGTTCTAGAAAATATGTAAATTAGGACTGATTGAAACAATTGGATCCTTTCGCTATCAAACTTGCTTATGCACAGTTAATCTCCAAAGTCAATGACTAACTTTTTTTTTTTTTTTTTTTCAAAATGATCACGTTGCAGCTTGTTCTATTATCTGCCAGTGAAGAGGCTCCATACTTCTTTGTCATCTGGACCAAGGCATACTCCACTCGCTGCCAAGTTCTTTGTAACCTTAAATGGATTCAGTAGCTGTTTCCAACTTTAAAAAGAGCATGCCACTGGACATTGATTGGTGAGTAGTTTTTCATACAGCACACATGGCTGAGACCAGACAGGGCGTATGTGCACCGTACCATTGATGCTGATGCTTCCTGGTTTATCACTATTGTAGTCAGCAGTGTCAGCAGCAAAGACAATAGCAGTGTGTGAGTGTCGCCCTTAGTCCCGAACAGTATTTATTTAAAACCCTAGAGCCGCACTTTAGACTAGCCCTGCTTGTTTGCATAGGTCCTCGCTTACTCACACAGACTGCATCATTATACAGGAATGCAGTACTTTGGATGTAATAAACATACAGACATGAACTGCTGAGTTTGACCAGAAGAAGAAATGGAGTTAACAATAAAGAAAAAATACCACATTTTATCATAATAAATAGGTTTATTGCATTTTAGGTTCTTTACCACAGCTTTTGTCTTATCCCTCATCTGATCAAAATACAAACAGCGTGTGAATTCGGCAATAAGGCAGTTTTTGAGTTTACCTAGTCTATTAACATATAACATAACATATACAAATAAATAAATAACCAGGGAAAATTACAGCGTTTCCATCTCACTGAAACACATCACTTCTTCTTTTACTAACTTTTTTAATACAATGATTTCAAACTGTTTTAGTGCATGAGTCATTATCAATCAGTGCTGTAGGCTATTGTGAATTTTATCTGTACTTCTATTCATACCTAAATTTCCAATCTTCCCCCCAGTGTCGGTGTCTGCACCATATTTCATACTGTACATCGAAATCTTGCCCAAACCTCCACCCCTTGTGTCTCCTCATCTGCACATCCACAGAAACATTCCTCATTAAATAAAAGATGCTTATGCACAGTGCTAACATCTGCTGCACTCTCTTGGTGTGTGCACCATAGAAGTGCTGACTTTCCCCTCTGCCTCTCTTTTCTCTCTTTCATTCATCTTTGCTCCTAGCTCCATGGCTTTTGGGACCAGAACTGCTGAGTTTAAAAAAGATAGTGATTTTGAACACTGTGAAACGTCAAATGAGCACACACACACTCATAGGGATAAGTGGATTGAATGTTTTGAATTCAAATTAAGAACTAAGGAGGCTTTTCAAACATAAAAAGACAGTTCTATGTGTATATATTTCCTTAAGTTTGGTGTAAAGTCCAGGACTTTTATCTTAGCAGATAGTAAACTGCTAAAATAAAGGATGAGGAGCTGAATGTACATATATTGAAATATGGATTCATAAACATTCTTCTCTACAATTCAAAGCGAAGAGAAATGCCGGTTTACATTCAGAATTAAAGCTCCTGAATAAACAGCGGATCATCTGTCTGTAATTTACTGCCAAGTGGCACCCTCAGGGACAAGGCTAATTTGATTCCTTGTAAACAAAAGCAGGCAGGAGTAAAGTGGCACACAGAAACACTTTACCTTGGCTTTGCCTTTTCCTTTTCTCCATCTTCTGCTGTTAGTTTCATTTAGTTTTGGCATTGTTTGACGGTAATGTGCTTAGTTGTGCTCATGCTGATCACTCAGTTGAGATAATACAGGAAGTACTCTTCAGTTCCTTTAGGGTCAAATACTGTATACAATATAGTTACACAGATATATTCTGCAATATTCTGGAAATAAGTGATTATTATTCATTTAGTGGTGTCCCTACATGACCTGCAGATTAGCAGAGATAAAGAGCTCTCATCTCGTAATGTATGTGATGTGATCAAAATATCTCAGGGGTTTAGGCTATTGTCCAGCCATGGGAAAGTAGGACAGGATATTTCCATAAACTCCCCAGTTGCCTGCGATATTTTATCAAATTAATCTAGTGTTATGCAAGCAGGTAGCCAAACTTCAGCACAAAATATATGAATACACAATCCAAGCAAATATAATGGCTGTAGTTTTCAGCGGTGCAGCTGTTTGACTGTGGCCCAGGTTTAGCTGCCACTTCTGAGCAGAGCTGTAGATGCATGGGCATCCTCAGCAGAGAGGTCATCTTCTCCTGCCAAGTCTGTCCAAACCTTTGGAGACACGAGAAAGAGGAACAGCAATAGAGGGACCAGCACTATTTATTTCCTGTCAAAATCCTGGTGACAGCACTCTGGTTACGTCTTTGTCACATACAGTCTGGGCACTAGCGATCAAGCTGACACACACCCCCTCTCTAGTCACACGCTCTCATTTTATTTGGCACTATCTGTCTTTGGTACATTGTCATTTATCACATTGTCTCTAGAGTTCACAGATGCATTCCCCACTTCTTCCCAGTTCAAATCAACTGGCGGCTTGAAAGTCTTTATGACAAAACTGTGTTGTCAACTTTTAAAATCCAAGTGACCCGAAGGCTTTTTTTAAACATCAGGCAGTGGCTGGCAGCTAGTTCAGCTGCGACCAGTCACCTCCATTCACCACTCCACAAGGGCATAATACACAGTGACACAGCAGTGTGTGTGCTGCCACTCTCATCAAAGAACTGCACTATAGAGTCACTACTCATCTTTTAATCATCTTTTATACTTTTATTATACTTTTATATTTTATATTTATACATAAAACAGCCCCTACTACTACTTGATATGCATTTTTATGAATGGTTAAGCTATAAAAGATTGCCTTAGAGAAGATCTACATTTGCATTTTTTAATTTATTTCCTTATTACATTACATTCTTATTTTCAACGCTCATCATGTATGGATTTAATATATTATGCTTAGATCGCTCTAGTAGACAGAAGACTTAGCTGTAGATTTATGGTCAAATAACACTCTCTAGTGGAATTTCTAAACATTGCACAATAGTTCAGCTCTCGATAAAGCACATTCAAGAATATTTCTTATTTTAATTAGGGATACAAATGCATAATGGTGTATATTTATTTTTGGAAGAAAATACTTAGGCCTGAGGTTCTATAAAATACATGAATTTTTTTACATCGGAACTACTGTCACAGTTTTCTTTCAACCACAGCCCGATTTGCTGCAGCACCGCCCTGCCTTTAACATGGCGCCGCCCGTGTTTGAAACATGTCATGTAGCTTGTTGTGCAAACAGGACTCCTAATGCGGTTTCTTGGAGCCGTGGGGGGACTATAGCATTTGGGACATGTAATTCAGTGGCTCTGTATAATCCCCAGGTACGACATGTCTTGGTTCGACTGCAGCTGTCAGTTATATGAGCGGCTGATACAGCTCTCGATATATACATTGCATTTCCCCAAATCCTTTCTTTTAAACTCGCTTTCTCGTCTGCATTACTTACCAAATTATCTCACATTTTCTTTGCCCCAGGAGAGAACAGTTGTCGCTTTGCTGAACGGACACACAGGCAGAGTGAATGCAGTGCAGTGGATTCACAGACCTGACTGTGGTAAGTGTCAGTGATGAATGCTCTTTTGTTTTATTGGACCATCTATGCATTGGACACAGATTATGGCGAGCCTGGGATGAACTTCCGTTATGGCCATTGGAGAGTCCAGACTAGTCATCAACAATATGTAAACAATAAACTGACGGACATCACCATGCAGCGTTTCTGTGGAATAATATGTCTTCTTTTTATTATTATTTTATTATTACTTTGGCACATATATTTAGGATCTAATTTAATTGGGTTTCTTTTTGGATTAAATAGCTCAGTTTCAATGAAAATACTTTGTAGTTTGGCTACTACGGAAACAATAGAAGGGCTATCACAAAGTAATCAATTGGGTCTATTCTATTCTACTGTCTTCCATCTATTTTTAGTTTAATTTTAGCCTAATAAATGGCTGTATTTCGCAAAATATTGTTTTTGTATAAGTGTAATGCCTAGCTTGTAGCATATTTTTATTTTTACTGTTTTGTTCTGATCAGGCATAGAACGTCACTTGGTTTCTGCAGGGTCAGACAATCGACTCTTTGTTTGGGAAGCACAAAATGACAGTGTAAGATATCCTCTTTACTAAAAAACTTTTATTTTATTTATTTATTTTTATGTAAACAATGATTACTGTTTGTAGTTCATTCGATCTGTGGAGTGTATTGGCCACACTGCTCCTGTTTCGTCTGTGGATGGGATATACCTGCATGAAACTCAGATCCTGGTGGCCTCTTCAGCCTCAGACTTCACCGTCCGTCTGTGGCTCTACAGTGGAGACAAGAATAGTAAGAGGCATTGTACCAATGATCATTGTTATTATTTGTTGTCTGTGTGAACATACTTTTACCAAAGACATCCATCAGAGTTAATATACATATAAAATCAGTGCTGTCTAGTATATAGTTGTATGGTACCATGTATAGTATAGGCTATACACCATCTAGTGGCTGCTGAGTAGAACAGCATGTGTCTTATTTATTCTCATATTTCAGTTTTTGCAGAGCAGTTCAAATCAGTCCTAAATTTTAAGTAGCAGCATATTATGTATGCCTTT